TTTTGCGAAGTAGCGAAAATATGGCTAGCCCATCGCCAAGGGCGTGGTGACACCGGAACAGAACGGCAGAAGTGTTTGGTGTATCTGAAATCCTCTTGATTACAACGACCTCCCACAACGGCGCGTTTTTCCGGTAAGGCTGAAATGTTAGTTGGGCCTGGAATTTGTGCAGCTCGTCGAGGCTTAATTCTGTTCATAAATATTTAAATAAATTGATTAATGCCAATTAACAATTGACAATTATTTTGGTAAATGGATGTCTCCAGTGGAAATATACGGTACTCAGATTTTTGGGCGTTTCGGGTTTGTAAGCGCTTGAAATGTTTGCCGGCTACCAAGCCGTTTATTTATGCTGTACGGTAAGAATAATGGAATTTTTTTCTAAAACTAAGACGAATTTTATAAATTCAAAAAAATTAAAGTTATAAAAGTTGATACTACATAGGTAGAGGAAGACATTACATGGAGTGTTCAAAGTAATTTTAAAATTTATACTGTATTTTCCACGTCAAATTAGTCCTAATTTTCACCCGTCCCTTCCAAAAATTTCGTTTTATGCCAAATACAAAATTACATTGATGGAAAATTATTTGTAAGGTTGGTTATCTCAAGTACTTAACAGACAATTAGATTACTCGGCCCCGTGAACCGCGCACTTTTGAATACCCGGCTGGATCAGGGTATCCCAAAAACGGCCAAATCTCCCGGGTACCTGTTTAATACCAGGTACCAGGGCCATCTCTGATTTTTTCAGCGCTTTTGCCTCCCTTACCAGTTGATTTCTGAAATTCTAAATATCCTGAATGCATATAATCCTAAATCTAATCCTACATATATCTAATCCTAATCCTAAATATATATAGTAGGTAAAGTACAAAACCATCAAAGTGAAAAATTCTACATTTTTTTTACCTTTTACCTTACTTCCACTATTTTGGATTGGTTGGAGCTCAAAAACCCATATGAACGGTGTGGAATTCGAGGAGTAGTCTGCTTTCAAAATGACACCCCACATGAAAATTAAGTTCCTGGACCACACGCCCTGGCGTTGTTGGGGTGGTGAGATTGACCTCGACCTGCAACTAAAAATTGGAAGCACAATGGCGTAAAGGGTCTTCCGTTATGTTAAAGCTTTCTAAGTATAAATACGGACGGACGGACGGACGGACAACACGATGACACGAACTCGCATTCATTTCGCTCCGCTCGTTAAAAAACTAGTTTACACGATTTTCATTTGTTGTACAGATTAGTTGTTACGAAGGCCAAAAGTTGAAAATCCTTTTAACAAATGCATGTATACAGAATGCTGCAAATGCGACATTATAGGCACTCGACAGTAACCGAACCAGATCAAATATTTATGTATATACTCATTTAATCACCCGTGTCTTTACATATGTAAATAGATCGTATATGGCAATGAATGGTGGGCTTGTACATACATACATATGTATATGCATACATACAAATGTATCGTGGTGACGCTCTAGAAGTGGTTAACTATGATAATTGGAATTATGTATATAAATACGAAATTATAATTAGTATGTAATTTCTAACAATGGAAGCTCAAACCATGTTCAGCTCAGATTATTTTTTGACTAGCTCAGTTTAAATGACCAGCTCTTGAGAAAGGCCGTCTCTTGCGGAGCTTGCGAGATAATGTGATTTTTCGTTCGATTGAATCTATGGATATGTATGTACCTAGGTACATAAATATGTTCAAATTTGCTCATGTTTTTTAAAACTCATGCGAATATTTTTAGCACACAATGAGAGTATTCTTTATTTCTTCGTGTAAGTAATTAAGTAGTTACGTAAAATAGTATACGAAGAAAAAACAAGGGACCAAGCTTCGTAAAAATTGTGGCCTCAGTAACACCATTTTCGATGACAAAATCTAACCACGCTTACAAGATCTCGTAACCGTTGTACATCTAATACTGCTGGATTGCTCTGATCTTTTACTTCCCGTCTGCAATGTTTTCAGTCACGTGATGGTCGTAACAAATGTCGTGTTTGTTTTCATCCGAAAATTTTTGGGTCTCAAAATGATTCCAAAATTGTTTCATATCGTCGTACTAATTCATAAAAGACCTAAGTGCAGTCGATGTTTAATTCAGAAACGACCGAAGTGCAGTCGATACTTAATTCAGAAAAGACCTAAGTGCACAGAAAAAAAGGAAGAAAAGACCTATGTGCAAGTATGTATTTACTTTACAGTGGGTGTGGCGGGGGCAAATGTGGCCATGGAGTCCAACCACTTCAGGGTTTTAGTACACTCATGGGACCCTACCACATATGCAAAGGACATCAAGATCCCAGAAGGGCAGGTGGTGAAGCTCTCCTCCTATGCATACTGTTCGAATGGTTCTTCGTAATGTATTATGTAAAAAATATAAATAAATTTAGTTTATTTAAAAATGCATACATAAATCAAACAGTAAATAAATATATCTTACAAATGATTTACCGTTAAAGCTAGTTAGTGAACACGATGGTGGATAGTAAGTGAGGACACATTGATGTAGATCGAAATACCTACAGGGGACGGGCAGCAAACAACTGGGCTTAAATTTATGCATGGGTGCTGTATAATAATAAACTTAATAGATACATGGGGCAGCCATGGACATATAACTTATACTTAAAATTATGACGTATGACTTATTTTATAAGTTATAAGTCATAGAAACTCCATAAGGCGACGTATATTTATAATTATAAGTTAAGTTATACCTCATAATTTTAAGTTATAAGTTTTGCGTCCATGGCTGCCCCATGTATCTAATATCTAGTTATAACTAATAAATAACTCATGCGAGACAGGTGACAAAGTAATTTTTAGAATAAAAACCTGTACCAGAAACGAAACATGCATTCAGTTAATTAAGTATGTAATTAGGTCAAGTTCGGTTTGTTTGTACACCAGAAATGTTTCCATTCTGAGTACAGCTCTAAGTCCATAATTTTTTAATTCGATACTTTCCTTTTCGCTGCACGAATCAGAACGGAAAATGCAAATTATTAATTACATATGTACATCGCGTGCCAGTAGGAACCTTTAAATGCATAGGTGCAAACTTTTACTGCAAAAAACCTCACGGTTTAAAAATTCCTCTTACTACTACTGGTTGGCCGTGTGTCTCTCGTATTTATCTGCAGTATACCATCAAATTAGTGCAATTACCCTTTAAAGTGGATCGAGATTGATGGATGACTTTAGATATTACGCAATTTAAAAGGTCCTTGATGTGCAATGCAGTTAATTACGTAATTGCTGCCATTTCATCAAACAAGGAAATGGGATACTGGTTAGTAAAAAGTGACAAATTGCAGGTTTTTAGTGCATATCGCGTGTTAAGTGGAGTTGAGAATACGGTGCAATTGCATGCGTGTAAGTATGTATCTCGCAATTTACATATGTATGCACACATACATACATATAAACTTGTTTCATCGATTAAAGAATTTGAAGGAACCGGATTTCATGCGAATACTATACAGGGTTTGTTTTCTAAGGATTTCTCATATGTTGCATTGGACTGCATGAAACTGCATGAAATATGGGGCCACTTATCGGGTCACCCTTTTACGATTAATTTTCCTTAAGCAACCGAACTTATTGGTTCAATCCAACGGAAGGGGTTGATTTCCAAGGGGCATGCATTAAAGAAATTAATGCACATCATGTAAAATATTGTGCATGCGAAATAAAAACAAGAATTCTTCTCGTAGTAATTTCTTGCAGATGTTTTTTTTTCACGCGAAACACTGAATCATAGTTTCCTATATATTCATTTCTACTTTATGGTAAAAGTCGAGTTAATGTGAACGATTCGTTCCATGGAAAACAGACCATAATTTTAATTCCAGTTATTTTTACTTTGATTTTTCTCCATTACCCGTGAACTTGATCAACATTCTAACCGATTTTAGATTTATTTACATATCTCTCCTTGACCCCAGTTTAATAAACACTTTCTCTCCAATTACCGAGATGTTACGTGTTTTTGTGGTAGGCATATCTCTCTGCACAACTTTGGCCCTACTTTCCCCGGGGAAGATGTACTCGTAAACTTTTTGACCGATTCATACACCGGGTCGGACAAGTATGGAAATTGTGCGCTTTTCTTTATACGACAAGGAGAAAGTAGTGGGGCTGATGAGCTCGGGGGTCATTTGGTGGGTGGGGTTGTACGTCGAGTGGGAATAAGGTCTTACTACAATGTTGCCTCATCCGAGGGAAACTCGTCCCTCGTGAAGTTTAGTGATTCCGTAGGAGGAAACTACAATAGGCACGCGTCCACGTGTAAATTCGTCATCGTGACGATACAGGAAGTGCGGGAGGAGTGGTTGGAGAAAGTTAAAGAGTAAGTAAACGATTGCCTGAAAATTGGACACATGCATAATTTAGAGTGTTTCTCAATAGCTATACACAGTATCGCTGTGTTAAATGTTAGAGAATCGGGACTTAAAAGTTCTGATTTCCTTTATGTATCTCCAACTTTCGAACAATATGTACATATATAAAAATTTGAAAATTTTCTGGAAATGTCGCTAAAATTTGGTGGACCATTTTGGTCGGACGATACGTATCCCTCTAAATTTTAATGTTAGAATTTTCATGCATAAATTTGGAAAATTTTTCTGCAACGTAAACATTTATTTTGGTTCCAATCAAATATTTTGAAAATATAGCCTTTTAGATTTTGCGTCTCCATAGGTCGTCACAGATTGTTTTTTTGCGAAATAATTAAATAGCATGGTGCATAATTTACAGGAGATTTTCACCCACTTATCACCCCGTCATTGCACACGTGGCTCCCTGGGTGTACGTAACGCCGGATTCTACTCTGCTTGAAAGCGTCCTATTTTCAAGTGCTCTTCCAAGCAGGACAAAATACAAATTGGGAGTTTCCCTCGACTCCCGGGGCAATCTGGTGGTCCGATCAGTCTGCTTTTTCTGTGACGAAGGTCGCCCCATGCTCCTCGACATGCCGGTCCACTCTCCTCTCACGAAGTTCGACTACTTTCCCGACTACCTCCAAAATCTGAAGGGATACCTGTTAAAGATTTCGTGTCCCGCGATCGCATCGCGGATCGAGGTGCGACCGCCCCGCGAAGGTGCGAACAACGCTTTGAGAGGGATGTTTAAAACGCTGCTGGATGACTTTCTCATGCTGAAATTTAACTTTACGTACAACGCTTTCACCGCCGTTGGGGGTGGGGGTACCGGACTCGAGTTGGAGAATGGAACCTGGATCGGTAAGAACAACTTTGTGGACAAATTTTTGTAAAATAGCCCAATTAACCTGTTAAATATGCACTCTTAATAATCCGGTAACGTCACGCGGGTAATGATTTCTCGCTAATAAATTTGGTAATGCTATTTTACCAGGTAGTAAAAATTCGTTACCATGATGGTAAAACTTTATTACCAAGCCATTACCACACAGTAAAACTTATCATTACCACTTTGGTAGAGTCATATACTTGTGCTTTTCGGTAATGTTTATTACCAGATTATTTACAGTGTGGAACAAAATTTGAAAGTTTCTATGTGCATGAAATAAATTCGCTTCCTAAGTGCCACATTTATTTTAGGCACTGTGGGAGACCTTGTTTCTGGCCGGGCAGATGTCGGACTTGACTCATCGAGAACGCCAAAGCGAGGTAATTGATGAAAAAAATTCGGACTACATGTGTAATTTTTAAATTTACCAATAAATTTTTAAAGATTTTTTTAAAATTTTGTAACAAAGAGCAAACTTTTTCAATTTATGCTAGAGTTGGCTAAATTGTGTGTGCAAATAAGAAAACAAATTTGCAGTGATTTGTTCAACCTTTTGTATAGGAATTGTACATGCGTGAAATTTTGTTTTTAAAAAAATATGTTTTCACTTTTTTAAAGTAAAAGTTGCCTCCTTCTCGGACTCCTTTTTCGACGCGAGCTACCTCAACTTTATCACAACGGAGGGGAAGCGGGTCTTCTCGGCGACCGCGTTTCTAGGCTCGTTCGACCTTTTCATGTGGACCTGCATCGCCATCTCGACCCTGGTGGGGTTCCTGGTATTCAAAATTATTACCCGCTCCATGACCGAGCTAGGAATTGATGACGGGGACGCGATGAGTTTCGCGAGGCGGGGAATTGTAAGCCAGGAAAGTTGGGGGATTCAATATCAGGTATTTTTCATGGTGGCGAGCTACCTCGACCAAGACGCTGTCCTCCCGCGGTTCACCCCGTTAAGGTGTTTCGTCGCGCTGTGGCTCTTTTTCACCTTGGTTATCACGACCGTTTATCGGTAAGAAGTTGAGCGGGAAGTTGAAATTTGTTAGTGCAAATTCTATTTAGTTAGAATTTCCCGTGAAAATGTAAGAATTCTGCAAGAAAAGGTTTTTCGACAAAATTTTATGTAAGAACTTCAAATCATAAGCGCCATCTAGCGGGCAAACACTTAAATTGATTGCCTATAAGGAATTGTGCGCTAGGTGGCATCTATTTCTTGAAAATTCGTACTTTCTTACATTTTTTTGCATTCTTTACAGTTTCTTGCAGCTTAACGTAGTAAATTTGAAGAAATATGCAAGAAATCCAAAACTATGTTTAAAAAATAGCGATAAATATCCTTAAGAATTCTTGTCAGGTTATTATTTTTTTGTTCTGCCAGATTACTCCTCAGGTGTTATGTCCTCTACTTTTAGTAGAAAATTATATCAATCTGATTGATTTGAATTGGTGTCAATTTAATAGATCAAAAATGGTGAGCCTCCTCGCCTTCCCCATTTTGGAAGAAGTTCCCCAAACTTTCGAACAATTGGTAGCTTCCGACTACCAAGTCGGTTTCATTAAGCATGGCGACTCTGCCTATAACACGTTGAAGGCCTCGACGGACAAGGTGTACGTGAAACTCTTGGAGGGAATGGAAATCATCACGGGGAACGGGTTGGAATGTTTGGAAAGAGCCGTGGCGAAAAAATATGCCTGCATTGCCTTCGCATTCTCCACGATTTATCTCAAAGCGAGAAATTTATCGGACTCGGATGTAAGGAAACTCATTTTCGCGCCGGAAACGACGTACAATGTAAAGTTTTGTAAATTTTCATTTCATCATTTTGAATAATCATTTTGACTATTTTGAAAAACAATTTTTGCGAGTCAGAGTTTATCCACGCGACATGAGTGGCTATTAATCTGTGCGTCAATTATTTATCGGCATAAAACTGATTAAGTCGACTTTTTTATTCACGTAAATAGAATATGCAAAATTCGAAATATGCAAAACTCAGGAAATTAAGCAAAATCTGAGGAAAAAAGTTTTTCTAGTGACATCCCATCAATTATGATCAACACCGTGGATCGGGCTAAATATAGCCTCTCAGTTTAGTCATGAATCAGTCCCATGTTTTTAGTTACTCTTGTAGTTACTGAAAATTTCAGTTTTACAATTTTCCTTATAGACATTTATTTCGTAATATTTTTGCATTCTTTTCGAAAATATCGAATCCATATTTTACGGATTTTTAAAATATGAATACATATCCGCTCTCTGCTTATTCCATCCATATTTTCCTAGATCTTCGTACCCATCGTTTTCCAAGGGGGCTCCATCTACAAGGAAGGTTTTGATCGCTGGATGCGCTGGACGCGGCCCTTTCACCTCGCCGATTTATGGGAGGCACAAGACATGTACTACAACGTGCGCCTCCCGAAGCTCGCCTGGTGGCGGGAAACGAATCAAACCGACAAACTGGAACATTCCTACGCCGAGGGGAGTGACGACCTCACCTTGAAACATATTTCCGGCGCGTTCTACGCCCTCGCAGGCTGTCTGCTCATCTCAACGGGCGTTTTTATCCAGGAGTTGGTGACTTATTATTGGAAGCGAATAAAAGTTCGACCTTACAATAATCGGGAGATAAGGGCACAAAATGAAATTGAATGTATGAATGATGTTTAACAAAATCCAAATTAATTTACTGATATATGTACAAAACTTAAAATAATGTTACCCTTTGGAAAAGTTCTTAAATACAGTTATAATTTAGTATTAATCCTAACTGACCTATACAAAAGCCAGAGTATAACATTATCATGATAATGATTAAAGTTTATTGGGAATTTAGTACAGTCAGCACTGCTTATTTCGTGTGGAATTCAGCGAGCAATCCCATTTTGGGAAGGGAACATTATTTTTTGAGTCACTACAGATCTTGAGGGGACAGACCAATTGAATAAGTCAACTTGCTCTTTCAAAAGACAGTTGCAAACTATTATTTATTGATTCAATTCAATGTGCTTTTATAACATCGCATTTTCATTCATACAAAAAGATACTTTTAGTTAAGTTGACCGAGGACAACGGAAATAAATCTAAAAACAGAATTCATAACACCCTTGAGTGCTTGATTAAGTGATAGATGAATGCTAGCCTCCAATAACTACATACCGACATTCCTGTAATAAAATGTCAACCGACATTTTAGCACATACATACAATACATCATAAAACACGTGTTCAAATTAGATTGCACTTAAGACAGATATATTTTTAAGGTCCTTGATCTACATAATATTCCATATTTCTCATATTCTCCCTCAAGCTAATTTGGATTGGTGTTTTGATCAGAATCCGATTCCACACGTTCTGGGCTGAATACCCAAGCAGGTGATTGATCAGGTCCTGGTGGTGCGGTTTTGGAGTCTTGATGACCTCAACCTTAACCTTTCTGTTGCAGTAGTAGCACAGGACAATCACCACGACAAGGATTCCAATTATGATGAGTAGTCCGACCAGAAGTCCCAGCATCAGGTGACCATGATCGCGGTCGGTTCCAAAGTGATGTCCCTCGGCGTGGGGGTTGAAAACATGTGTCAGCATTGGGTCTCTCATTAACTCGGACAGATTGAGTCTGGGGTTGAGATGATGATTCGTTTTGATTGTGAATGCTGGATCAGGGCTCTCTTGGTGAATGATATTGACAACTGACCTCACAAAGTCCTTATCATTGATTTGGAATCTTGTCCCGATGGGCAGGATGAAGACCTCTTCTGGACAGGGCTGCAGTTGGTTTTCAATCGTGATCTGTGATTTCCAGCAGTAGATGTAGAGAAAGCCGTGATGTGATTTCACTTGAATCAGTTCTTTTTCATCTCCTGCTCTTCGAGTTTTGCAGGAGCTGATTCTGAAGTGCGATCGGTCTTCCTCCTTATCAGGCAGGCACTCTTGTGTGGCAGCGTAGACGAGCTCATACGCTCCAGTGATCCTAACATTCAGAGCCACTGGACACCCGGATGGAGACAAAACTGCTGTTGTTGGGCCAGTGTAGCTGGCTCGGCAGGTTTGGTTTTCTGTTTGAACAAGGAAATCAAATGGGTCCACGACCACTAGTGTCATGTTCGGGTCGATGGTTGGGATTGATATTTCCATTTCCAGTGCATTTCCATCCTTCGCCTTGAAGCCGCACCCATCTGCTGTAGCGTGCTCCATTTGACACGTTGTAGTCTCACACGGCAGAGAAATGTTGAGGTAGTCAAAGAGGAGTGGTGAGACAAATCCTCTTTTGAAATCTCGGGCTCCAGCCTTGATTATTGGAGTTCCAATGGTAAGACCTGACATGATGGATGACAGCACAAAGTGGGCAGTTGGAGATTTGCTTTTGAGCTCATGGAAATCGCGTTCATGACTTTCCAGTTCTTCAGCTAATTGATTGAAATCTCTTCTCAGCTTTGTTAAAGCCACCTCTGTGAGATTGGTTTCTTTGTTCGGAACTTCCATTTCTCTGTCCTGGGCCAGGATGACGTCTTCAGCTTGTCCAAGTCTGCGACTATTGGACACGGAGAGAAGAAAGTCACCAACTGCCGCTCCAGCCATTACCAGTCCAACAACGATAATCGCGATGATGGGAACAAGTCTCCTCACTCGCTTGGACCTTGGTTTGCGTTTGTTGACCTGGGCAGTTTCTTTTCGTTTGGTGGCAGGACACATCTTCTCAAGTTCTTTCATGAATTTGTTTTGGTAGGCCTCTTCACACATCCTCCTGGCGTCTTGCAGGGTTTCGTAGTGCATCATGCTGGCATTGATGAGGATGCAGGGGCTGATTAATTGGAGCTTGACAAAGACCTTCTCGTACCCGCTGATGATGGGAATTTTTGACTTTCTCCAAAGAATTGGACGTGAACTGGTGATGTGGACTGCATCACCTTGACTCGTCATTATCAGGAGCAGAACCATCAGCCAGTGGAGCATGCCCACTTTTCCCAAGTTGCGAGGTCCTCTCTGTCTTTTCGTATCAGATCGATCATCATCATCAGTGTCCACAGTGAGATGAGCATGTAGCGGTGTTGCTGGTTCAGGAAGTTCAGGACTTGCGACGTCGGGATCACTTTCTCCGTCCCTTTCTCCCTCACTTTGAGCATGGGGTGCCTCAATCATTCCCAAATTAGACCGATTTTCCACAAATTTAGCTCTCGCCAGTGGTTTGGTGAATATGTCTGCTCGTTGTTCGTTGGTAGGCACGTATCGGGTGGATATCTGATTTGATTCGTTTAATTCCCTCACGAAGTGATACTTGACATCGATGTGTTTCGTACGCTTGTGAAATTCTGGATTTTCAACAAGTCGTATTGCACTCGTGTTGTCCACGAAAACGGGGGTGGGACCCTGTGGTATTCCCAACTCTTTCAGAAAAGTTCGCAGCCACTATCGCATTTTCATTCATACAAAAAGATACTTTTAGTTAAGTTGACCGAGGACAACGGAAATAAATCTAAAAACAGAATTCATAACACCCTTGAGTGCTTGATTAAGTGATAGATGAATGCTAGCCTCCAATAACTACATACCGACATTCCTGTAATAAAATGTCAACCGACATTTTAGCACATACATACAATACATCATAAAACACGTGTTCAAATTAGATTGCACTTAAGACAGAAATATTTTTAAGGTCCTTGATCTACATAATATTCCATATTTCTCATAAGACCTTATACCCGTAGATAAGTCCTCACTAAAAACTTGTCGAGTGGAATGCGGTGTATGACTTTAAATTACTTCTCACGACTACGATTCTTGCGATTCTTTACTATAAAATCAAAGCTGGAACTAGTAAAGTCAGTTACATTTACTGAACCACTTTATTTAATTAGAATCAATTAAATTGTTGGAACACAAATTTTATACAACTTCTCATGACCAACTCAAAACCAAGAATAATCCAAAAAAATATTCATTCACACAGGAGACAAAAAAAATAGTGGCCCAAGCACAAAAAGAACCGGAAATCTCAAAATTACAGGGCTATGAGACACTCAATTATAATACACATGAAATAAAGGTATTTTCATACAACTACAAAATATCATTACTTATACTAAATTCAACAACAGATCTGTAAAAACCGAATTTTAATGTTAACTGTTAACTGACTCAATATTCTAAAACGCAAGCTTAAAGTTTAGAAATGTGGATATGTACAAGAATATTTTACTGAATTATACGGCTTACATACATATGTACATATGAATGTATGTAGGAAAAAATTATACAAATTAGTGCATGTATTAGTAAAATACGCAATCAATCCTTAGAGATTGACGTCTCCAAAAACATGTACATATTTTGCACATCTAACGATAAGCCCAACTACAAACTATTACATACAAAAATTAAGTCCTATTAATTTCTTATTAATGATCATGGCCAATTAAAAAGTAATTGTACAATGTAGAACAAATACGGTTTCACGGTTTACTTGTGGTACTATCATAAAACTAGAAGCACCAAAAAACTTTTACTTGATTTATGCATGATATCAAACACCAGAAAAAGTAAATTGCATACGAGTTTCGCCAATTTTTCTAGGAATTATACATTTCTGATAAGATTTCCAAGTAAATATTGTATACCTAAATTCATGAGCACGTGTAGCTAAGTAAATAGGTATATGCAATTATGTTCCTCAGCATTACCAATTATATACTCGTGTACGGGACATTAAACGTAAAATTACAAATGGGTTTCTGAAATTTTTTCTGAGAACGATATTACATATAACAGCGGATTTCTAAGTAAATAGTGTATAAATTAATGAACACATACGTATGTACACATGTGCTCAAATTGAGCCACATGTAAATATAACGACGGAAGCTAATTTTTTACCTCTAAGCGAGTGTGCATAATTAATCATAATAATGTAATGTAGATTAATCAATAACTTGTTCAAGGAGGAATAACTCTTTCGGGGAATCTTGGTTCCGACATGTTCAGTATTTAATTTTCTTACACTTCCTTCCATCTCGTCCACTATACTGTAACATCTTGAACACTAGGGGTGGACAAGAATTTAGTGCGCTCGCCTTGAAGGAGGGTAATTTTGCTCTAAACTTATAACTGGTGTGAAAGACATACTTATATACATACTCACCAGAGCCTTGCCGTGTTGGTGGTAGTGTGCTTCTGCTGACCGGCAAACTAGTGGTCGTTTATTTCCATGCGGTGACCAAACTCTACATCAGCGGTGTAGGTATGTGTGCACCTACATATGTATCACAATCCGGTAGGGTCACATACGTAAATATAGTCACCGGCTGGTGATAATCCGGTGTTAAAATTTAATTGCACAAAAGCCGGGCTGCTAGGTTGGTAAATACAGGGAAGGGCAAGTTGCAAAAATTTAAGCAAACGGAACACTCTTTGAAGATTAACGCTTTTTGGTTTTTCGAAGCGTAATAATCTGAGATTCTCACATAGAAGGTTTCCCTTGTGACTTTTTCCTTGAACAATTACATATATACATCTATATGTAATAGATATGTAAGTAGTCCATATCCAATTGCGACGCAGTTTATTCAAATGATTATTCCTATTCTGGAGAAGTACTTACTTCTCAATTTCAAGGTAAATTTATCTTACCCCAAAATCCAAAATGGTCCGGATTATTTGCTATTTTC